ATAATATTATAAATAAACATACAATATTACAATAGAAGAGTTCTAAAACTTAAAAACTAAAACATGTTAAATAATTCACTAAAATAAAACATGTTAAATAATTGCTTGTTGATAAAAAAATAAATAAACAAAAAAGAATGTACATTAAATATATTCATATACTAATATAGACAAGTGATTTTCAAAAATTTAAAAGTAGATTAGTATATCTTCAGTTGAAAAAATGAGTTTTTTAAGATTTTGTTTAAAAGAATCAAAATTACATTCTTGAGAAAAATCTTTAGAAGTATTTAGAACTATACTATTCCATAAAAATGGTCCGCGAAATGAAATAAAAAATTTTCCAAAATTAGTTTGAGAAAATGGTAGATATGAACTCGGCAATTTTTTTAAATATGTGATTACCTGCAGATATTTGAAAATGTATGTATTTATATAAATCTATAAATGATTTTTTTGCGATTCCCTGAATTTTTTCAATACACCCCTTTGGGGAGATTTCAGACACTTTAGACATTCTATAAAGTTAAATTGTCCGATGCTTTTGTAATGATTGCTTAATAACAGTGCCCTATGGACAATTATTAAAGTTTTGCAAATTTCTATTTGCACAATCATTAACGATTGCAACACCATAATTTTCTTGTAGATTAATTTTTCGCGAAGCAATTCTCGAGTGAATGTATATAAAAGCTGTACCGCTAGTAGCGCTAAACTAAAGAATAAACAAAAAAAAGTTAAACACTTTTAACAAGTTTTAAAGCTTCATTATTACTTTTGCCACAGCTAATTAAAAGATGACCAGAAACTATGAGAGAAAAACATTATGTACATTCTCAACTGAAAAGTTAAGGGAAGCCGTGAAAGTACCCGAAAGTCGGGTAGGCCCGGACACATAGATTAACCATGAATTTACTTCTTTTTTACATGTGTGACACAAGTATAATGTATAAATAATTAGTATTGGAATGTTCTCAGCACATTAAAAAAGAATTGCCTCTGATATATAAGGAACGGGTATAAAGATGCCATCATTTAGAAATATAAACAATAGATCTTTACTAATGAAAATAAACACTTTTTTCAAATCTATGGTCTTTTTATTGGAATTAAATTAAATAAGTTGGCATTATAGGTTTGTGTATTTAAATTTATTAATATTTATATGAAAAAAAGTTGTTCATTTTTAATATGTAAACGGATTAAATTGTTCGGAACCACCCTCCAAACATGCGTCCGATACCACCCGATCATACCTGATTCACAAATACTAGTTTTAAAACCAGTGAACAAAAGTTTTAAACGAATTTTTTTTTTAATAAATATTAAAAATAAATATGAGTTTTTAATCAATAAAAAGTTATTAGTTTGCATAAATATTAGGTATATTAATATGTGAATCAAATATTATGATACATCACTCTTCTGGTGGTGGGAAACAATATCTTGTACTCCCAGCCAGTCGCTTCGACATATTATGATAGATATTCTGCATATGCTATATTTCACTCAAGTAATGGGTTTATAGTATTTAAAATAACATAGCTTCTTTAGTTTAAGCTGTACATTAAGTGTCTGGAGTTACCCGCCGTCCGGGACTACCCGACTTTTCCCTATATACTCTAACGCTTGTTTTTTTTTCTGTTTGCAAACATAAATTCAAGCAAAAGTTATTTTTAAATTCTAAACTTAACTTCAAATTAAATTTCAAACTAAAACTCTAAATAAAATAAAGAAAATACTGATGCTCAAAAAGACAAAAATAAAACTTGCAAAAAAACTTTTAGTTTCAGGAACGCGTTAATAGGGTAAGATTGCCGATATTTTACCGGCGCCTAAATTGTACTTTTGCTGTATCTAATTACTTTTACAACCCCAAAAAAATCTTTTGACTAAAATTTTGTCTTTGCTATGTTTAACTAATGAATCAATTGTTTTTTTTGTGAGATGAAACTATATTCTGGCAACAGCTACCTCGAGTTGATATGATGCCAAAGTTTTCTTATTTTTGGGGTTCAATTTTTAGAGTATTACTTTAAACATGTTAAATATGTCTTTTTATCATATTTATGTGAAAGCACTATTTGTGTGAACTCAAGTAACTTCCAAGAAATTAAAATACAGTAGCATTTGTTGTCATATTTCGTTATAAATTCAAAGTGAGTCTAGTCACGTAATTTGCACCTCACTCAATTAAAGGCCTAAGTTGCCCTAAATTGTACCAAGGCTGCCATTTTGAATTTTGAATATTTGTAACTTTTGTCGAGAACAAAGATTTTCTGTTTTGTATTATTAATATAATTTGCAGTAATACCCATCACGTTTAATATAAAAGTTATACCTTATTAATGGTACCTGTTTCAGACAGGAAAGATTTACAGTTTCATAATTTACTAAATTCAAAACTTTTTTACATTGCTTGGCACAGAAAAAGATCTTTACTAAAGTCATTCAAAATTAATATAGTATTTGTAAAATCAAGATATAGATACAATATTGGATTATAATAGTACGATTTAGAAACCTGTTTTCTTAATTGTACCGATAGTATGTTTTTTAAAATATAGTTCCCTATCAAATACTAACGTTTAAATTTTGACATATTTTAAATTTTTTACAACCGTTTATCCCCAAATATAAAATACAATAAATTCTCATTGTTTCTACTTTCTCTATTTTTCTCTTTTTTCTCTATTTTTTATTTTATTCTTATAGGGTACAATATTGGCAACCTTTTTTTTTTTTAATTTTTTTTTTAGGTGCCCCAAGAAGTCCTTGCGGTCTTATCACAGAGCACCGCGTAAGAGCATTTAGTAGGAAGTTCTCGCCTCCTTCCCAACCGATGTCGTAAAACTTTCCCAGAGGTGGGGTTTGAACCACGGATCTTACGTTTCTCAGACGAGTGCGCCTTATCCTATAGTTCATTACCTAATTCTAATGAAACTTCAAGCTAGGTAGTATAGTTCATTACCTAACTATTATGAAACTTCAAACACATTAATATAGCTCCTCACCTAATTCTTATGAAACTTCAAACACGTTAATATTAGCTTTTTTCATTAGCTAACTCTTATGAAACTTTAAACACGTTAAAGAGAAGATTTATAAAATATCTGCCAGAGAATATTCCTTTCAGCAACAAATTGTGGTAGTAACATTGAGACATCCTGACACAAAATTTTGATGTGTCTTATGCTTCATTGAATGATACCCACACTCGATTTATGGGATAGCGTAATTGGTTATAAGTAAGGCATTAAGAAGGTTATAAGGCATTAAGAAAGTAGTGGACGACCGACAACGTCAAATTTTAGTAATGTAATGAACAGATGAAAATAAATTTACGCAGCGTCTTATTCAAGAAAGCTTTTAAATCAAATCAAATGTATTGTGAAATGTTACATTTCAAATGTAAAATTTTTTAAAAGACTGGCATAAGTGCGCCGAATAAAATTGCAAATATTGGCATAAGTGCAAATTGCTATTTCGCTCTTATGCAAATTTATTCGGCGCACTTATGCCAGATCTGTAACTACTTCACACTTGCCAATGTTTGCCAATTCTTTTGGCGCACTTATGTTAGTTCGCACTTATTCCAGTTTTTGCAACGCTTTGCACTTATGCCAATTCGCGCTTATTCAGCCTCCCGAACAGATATCGTTAGCTCGAATTAAAAATGTCGTATCGAAAATTTATTAAAATTATATATAAATATGGAATTAATCTTATTTGTTTAAACTTAACATTTTGTTAATAAAAAAAAATTATTTTTGTATAACGTTATATTGTAAAGTTATATAAAAACAATATTTCACATTTAACATAACTTTAAATTTAAATAGATTATGTATTAATATATAATTTTATTAAAAACAACACTCCAAACTGATTCTCTGCGGTGTTTTGTGTCAAAACCGTTAGGTCTTTTTGGAGAATCCTAATAATAATAATAATAATAATAATAAATATATATATGTATAATAAATCGTAACAAGTATTGAAAAAAAAGGACGGAGATACAGTTGCGTATCTAAATAATTGGTTTTGCTTACGTACTTTTTGGATGCCCCTAATAGATTTACAAGATTATAATAGAATTGATTTTTTAAATTCGTGAAACTCAATGCTTTTGTATTAAAACAAAATGTTTTTGGGGGAGATGAGAACAAGAGTCAAATAACGTACATACTCGCTTTCCTTAACACCCCCTTATTGTACGAATTTGTAGATATTTGGGCAAGCCCCCTCGCCCATGTCTGCGTAGGTACTTTATGGAAATGATTTTTTAATTATTAATATTTTAAAGTTAATATGGCACGTTGTCATTAAATATTGAAAAGCGTAATAAGACGTTAGAGTAATATGGTTTTATTGAAAAAAGACAGCTCATTTATAATTCTGATAGGCATTAAGTGACAATTTTTGGCCAAGGCAAAAACATTGATAAAATATACCCTTAATGAAATTATAAAATAAATCACTTACAACATCATTAGAATCGCTTATATTTCTAAAAACGAGATCAGCGGACAAATTCTTTATACATTTTAACTTACGAGAAGAGCAAGACATTCAAACAAGATTCTTTTAACGTTGTAAATCCTGTAAACTCGTAAAAATTTGAGTTAAAAAAAAAAAAAAAAATGAAATTAAAATTAAAAACAATTTAGATTGGATTTATTTAACGCAATTGAGCTATTTTAATCATAAAATAGCAAATAGTACTACTATTGAGACTCCAAGGAAAAATATTTTTTGTAAGAAAATCAATTTAGTATTGACCAAAAAAAAAATTATTCTGATATCTTAATGAGTAACTTATTAAAAAAGAACATTTTGAAATCTTTAAACATAAACAAAAGTTCATCAATTGAGGATAAGGTACCTAAAAAAACCCACAAAAAACTATTAAAAAATAAATATGAAAAATAATAAAGATAAAAATTCTCTATGATCAAAAAGATTATACCGGTTAAAATACAGATCAGTATAACAAAAAATTTTACTTCTTTTCACTATATTTCTTGAATCAAAGTAAAAATTAATTACAAAGTCTGATATCAGTTTTAATCTATTGATTTTATGTGTTTGAGCTAGTACCCAATATGAAAACTAAGTACAATATCTATTTTGAAGGACCTCAAATCAGTCATAATTTAAATCCATGTTACTCCAGTTAAATACAAAATAAGAATAATTACCATCTCGGTTGACCTGGTGGAAGCATGCCGGGTGGAGGACCAGCCATCATACCAGGAGGAGGTGGTCCACCTCTTCCATATTGCTGAGGAGGAGCACCCATTTGGGGTGTCATCACTTGTTGACTTGGACCACCAACCCCACGAACAGGCCCTGCTAATCCAACAGGAGCACCCATTGAAGGGGCAGGTATGCCTCTTCCAGCAGCTCGCCCAGCACCAGTTCCAGCACTAGCACTTGCAGCAGGAGTTTTGTTTCTATCTTCTTTTGATGGTGGTGCTTCAACAGTCATAGAAACTAAATGTTCACCACGAAGTAAAACCAATCCTAGTGCACGCTTTTCTTCCTTTTCTTTTTCAACTCCTTTGTTGGTTTTTGGTTTTATTTTTCTGAACTCGTCACAATCACCAAGAATCAAATTCATGTGTTTATCAAATGCTAGAAATGTTCCTATAAAAGTTCTTCCATCTTGTAGTTGACATCGCATTCGATAATTTATATGCTGGAGCATTTTCGCACTTTTTCCTAATTGTGGCATGGTTAATTTTTCTACTTGGCAAAAACAAAAACAAAATATATAAAACAAAAAAGCAATGTAAAAAAAATAAAAACAAATAGAAAGTATATATATATATATATATATATATACACACACATATATACACACACACACACACACACACACACACACACACACACACACACACACACTTGTGTATGCTAGTGAAATAAATAAAAATTAAAAAAAAAAAAAAAAAATCAAGAAACAGAAGTCATTAAAATTGTTATTTTTGTATTTTTTAAAAAAAGTAATAAAATTTGGCAAACTTATGCAAATAATGTAATGGTTTTAAGATTTAGGTGACATTTAAAAGTTTTTAAATAGTAAAGTAGCAAAATTTTGATTGTAAAAGACTTTTTTTTAACCATAATTCTCTTTATATGTACTTTTAAATATTTGTCATATTTTAAAATTGTAAAGTGTAAAAATACATTATGGTCAACGCCAAAAAAAATGTTTGCACATACACCTTGATATTCTTGACAAATACTATTAAATAAACCAACTACTTTTAATAATGTCTACCTATGTTCACAACTTAGTTTTCTACCTTTTAAACAAACACAAGAAATTTACTTGTTACTAATTATTATAATATTTAGCAGCAATTGATAAATTTTAATTGATAAATCTTTTATATTAAAAAAAATGACTTTTTTATTATTTTTTTTTAATTATGTATTTAGTTGATGCCCTTTAGTTAATACAAAGAGAGGAAGAGAAACACCACTTACCAGGTTTAGGAATGCTATAATTTCCAACTAGTATTATTTAAAATAATATTTTTAAAAAGACATTTAGAGCTGCATGGATTTATTAAACTTTTTTATTAGTGGACTTTCATCAGCCACACATAGTTTTTACAATTTTATGATTCAAGTTGAATCATAAAATTGTAGTTTTTATCTTAAATTTAAGGTTTTCTTTATTGAAAGGTTTCTATAAACAAATAGTGAAAATTATAAGAAAGCGAAACTTTGTGATTTTAAGTTTTGTGTATTATTATTATTATTATGGCTAAGCAGATAAGTCTTAACCAGTCTTAAATACCTTTAAGCAAGTGCCTTTATCTAGTGCTTTAGCTAATGTGATTTTCTATATTGTTCACATACACTTCCATTACTATACAGAAAATATATTCATAAAATCAACAAAAAATATTTCAAAAATAATTTTAATTTATTATTTCAATTCAATTATCTTTTTAACATTTTCTAAAGAAATTTCTGTTGCTTTAACTGGATTGTCATCTAACATCTATAAAATTTGAAAATAAAATGTACACCTATAGAGAGGTATGCATTATGGAGGAAAGAATCACTATGTGATTGCACATTTTAATTTTTGTTCAAATTTAAATAAAAGAAAACGATAGCAACAATAAAATGCATAAATCGAAAACCATGTGTTTTCATTTTAAATATAAAACATTAATAAGCATATATATATTTACTTAGGCCATATTGATTCAACACAAAAACTTGTTTTTAAACCATTTTAAAAAATAATTTTAAACCATAGTTTTTAAACCTATTTAAACCAATTGTTTATGCCTTATATATATATATATATATATATATATATATATATATATATATATATATATATATATATATGATGTAATAGAATTCAACTAGGAAAATTCTTAGAATAACTATACGAAAAAAGAATGAATTGCTACATTATTAGGGTTGCCAGATGTCCAGCTTTTACGAAGGAGAACACAGTAAAAAAATTATTTTTACAGGTTTAGCACTGTATTCTCTTTCATAACAGCCAGACATCTGGCAACCCTATACATTATGTTTATATATACAAACAAAAACATGCCATAATGAATTTCATACAGCCCAATATTTTATGTCATTTAAGGCAGAGATATTGGATTTAAAAATAAATAATCTTAAAAAACATCTTTATAATGTGAATAGATTTCTAATCAGTCTGTTGCAACCTAACAAAATACTCCTAAAATTATAATACGTTTAATGCTAATTAAAACTAATACTAGTAACTTTAATTAGCATTAAACGTTTTATAATTTTAGGACTATTTTGTTGGTATATACTTAGCATAATGAAGTTATATATTCCATAATGGGAGTAATGATAGCATAAGTTATATATTCCATAAAAGTGTTGTATTAGTAATACAAAAAATTATATGCTAACCACAGCATCGCAATAGTAGTAAAAGTATACAATAATAAAGATGAAAATACTTTCTTCATTTAAAAACATGTATTCTTATCTTAAACGACAAGCTCAGCTTTTACTAAATATTTAATATAAAAAAATATTAAAAGCTAAAGTAGTTGTTTGAAAACTAAAATAAGTTTTCAATACGCTATAGCAGTAAAAAGTTTTAAAAGTAATTGAAAAATTAGGTTTTTAAAATTTTATTACTGCTATTTGTAGAATATATTAAATAACGCTCTATTTATATAAAAAAAACAACTTCGAGATAAAAAAAATAAATAAATAAAAAGGAGAATAAATATCGCCATAAAACTAAACACAACTACGAACTAAATACTGTAAAAAAAATATCAAGACTTTTCGATTATGTGTATATAAAAGTGTATAAATCAACGTGCAATCACTTCGCGGTCTTAATCCATTTTGAAAGCTAGCCCATGCCTCCGACGAAAAGCGTTCTCCACGGTAGGTCACTTGAAACAGAAAAATAACATATTATTCGGAAAAAATAAATGTAACAAGCAGAATTCAAAGCTTTATCCTTAATGCCAGAACTTTTAAACAAACAAAAAAATTTCAAAAAAATCAGGTTCTTAAAAAATAATTTATAAGTTAGTTTATAGTTGAACTATTTACTATTAACCAAAGTGGTTGATTTTTTACGACTGCCAAAAGGGCCAATGGTTCCAGAAAAACTTTACCTAACAAAGGAAATAAAAGCTTTATGATCATTTGTTTAATAACTTAGTCATATCAACCAAGTCCATATTATTTTAGAAATTAAATAACTTAGTTTTAGTTTTCAATCCTTGGCCCTATACTCTTTTTAATTTACATTAACGATCTTCCAGATTTTCTCACATCTAAGGTGGCATTGTTCGCTGATGATACTACCATTTATTCTTGTCACGATAAGAAGCAAACTCCCTCTGATTGCTTGCAGGAGGCATCTGAGCTTGAAAAGGATCTCAGGATCTCACTTCTGCTACAGCATGGGGCTCACAGTGGCTGGTGAACTTTAATTCAGATAAAACTCAATTTTTTTCAGCCAATCGTTATCGCAATAATTTAGACCTTCCTATATTTATGAACGGTAATGTACTCGATGAGTCTCCTACCCTTCATCTTATAGGATTAACTCTTACTTCTGATCTTTCTTGGAAACCTTATATCAAATCCGTTGCAAAATTAGCATCTGCTAAAGTCGCTTCTCTTTATCGAGCTCGTCACTTTCTTACTCTGGATTCTATTCTCTATCTCTATAAATCTCAAATCCGGCCTTGTATGGAATACTATTGCCATATCTGGGGTGGACAGACGACTTAAAAGATGGGGTGGATCTTCTAATTGGGGTGGATCTTCTAATGATGCCCTTTCTCTTTTAGACAAGGTGCAAAAACTCTTGCAGCCTTCAACCTCTTCAACCTCTGTCACATCGTCTTCAACCTCTTCAACCTTTTCAACCTCTGTCACATCACAGCCTTCAACCTCTCCAACCTTCAACCTCTGTCACATCGTCGTAATGTTCCTTCTCTTTCTCTTTTCTACAAATACTATAATGGGCACTGCTCTAAAGAGCTAGCGTCTCTTGTGCCATCTACAAAAATTCATTCTCGTGTTACTCGTCATTCAATTAAGTCTCATCCTTTTTCTGTTACTGTTTCTAAGTGCTCCAAAAACTCTTATTCGTCTAGTTTTTTTCCTCGAACATCAGTTCTTTGGAATTCGCTTCTTTCATCTTGCTTTCCTGATTCATATAGTTTGCAATCTTTTAAGTCGTCTGTCAATCGTTATCTTGGTCTACAACCTTCATCTTTTCTCTTCCAGTAACTTCCAACACTAATTAGTGGTTACTTGCAGCTTTGTTGGAAGCGAAGATGTTAAAAAAAAAAAAAAAAAAAAAAAAAAGGGTTGGCGTTGAGCAATTTAAACTGCAATATCTTTTTACAAACCACGGCTTGATCTTATTTCATACTTACATAATTTACACTTCGATATGGAAGATGGTTGTAAAATGCCTGAGCGTCATGCTTGCAAAAATGTTTGAGAAGTTGTAAGTCTTTACTTTAATGAGGAAAGAGGTAAAAGGACTCTGCTTGAAGATTTAAGGAGGCTCCAACAAGATTACCATCTTTTTAACTAGTTTTGTGACAATAGCATCAAGAAATGGTTCATTCTAGTTTATTCTTTTTAAAAAATATTTTTTTCTTGATAACTTTTAGAGATAAAAACTTCTCGAAGTGGCTGGGTTTTAATCGGAGAAGAGGTAACAAAGAGAATTTTAACATATTTTTTCTATATTTATAAACATGGCATTTTCAACTGAAATTACGTGAAATAGAGATGAGTTTTTCTGGCGTCTTTAAAGTGGTTTAACCAGCTGGCTGGTGTCACTGCAGGAAGCTTTTAATTTATTAAAATCATGTTTAGATCGCACTCCATATGAGAGTGTCTACGGATGAGAAAAGAAAGTTTAATATTTTCAAATCTGTTTTTTTGGTGGACAATGTAGTGAAGAAACCGTAGCCTAGTCCAATTTTATTCTTTCCAGGATATGAATTACGGAAGAGTTGAAGATGAGTTACTTCTGAAGACAATATTACAGTAAAGTAGTGCAACACCCTTTTTTTCGCCTGTCTTATTATATGAAAAAAGAGAAACCTCATAATTCCCAGGTTATGTATATTAAAGGTGTACAAAGAAAGTATTTGTCTGTAATGTGCGTCATTGGTTATAATATTAGGACAAAAAAGATTCTTAAAAATCAAAGGCAACTGCGGCAAACCAGGTGA